TGAAATTTAATACGCAAGTACTTACCGTACTACAAGTATACAGAGAGTAGATTTGCTACTCCCTTTTGGCAGCAGCAAATATCTCTCGTACGCGATGAGGGAAAGTAGAGTACGTACTTTGGTGGAGTAATAGCAAGTACGTCAAGTATTTACTCTCTCAACGCCAAGTAGTGTATGTATGCGGAAAAAAAGTAACAATGTGTTGGGAGTAGAGTACAATGCAAGGAGTACTTATTGAATGAAATGCGGCAAATACAATTGCGCTGGACTCTAATACATACATATGTACATGCATACATACTTCTTCAAATATATAGTAGATATCTATCATTATCCCAGTATATAAGAATTTTAGGAATATCTCGTCCACAATGCCACCTATCGTGTACATTTTTAGTCCCAATATTTATTTTCAATTGGCTAAATTGTATTCTAAATATGTGCCAGGTCGGCAAGAAAATGCAGTCTTTAGGAATATTGCGAACCTAGCGCCAATTAGCGAGTGCATTTTTGGCCAGAATATTTCTTTTCTTGGCTCCGACACATGTTCCAAATATGAACCAAATCGGGCTAGCCGTTTAGCAGTTTAGTGACATTTAATGTACCGAAAACTATATCAAATTGTGAAATCGTGACGTCTCAGCTTTCTTTATTTTTCGGCAACAACAAAAAATTTCAAATTTTTTTAAATCAAAAAACCTTTCACACAGACGGTCCAAAAATGTGATTTTTACAGAATCGAAATACGAAAAACATTTCATTTTTATATATATAGATATAGATAGATATAATATTAGCGTGGCATATTTTCAGCTAAAAAATTGTTTCGATTTAATTTTGGAACCTTTAATTTTATATTTACAGTTGTTCAAAAAACATAAAATAAAAAATAAAAGCTCGTATACACTCGAAGTTGATACATAAAGAAGCGGCTTCAACGGAAATATGAGATATAATGGAATCCATTAAAAAAATAAATAAATCAACAGAATTTGAAATTGTGGCCGGAATAAGAATCGAAACCACACTGGAAATTTGTAAAGCAATTTAGGATACTTAATTTATTGCCTTTCAGCTTAATCAACTGGAATCAAAGCTTAAAAAGTAAACTAGCGATTAAAAACTTACAATACAAATTTTAAGATCAAAACAAAAACTAAAAATTAAATCAAAAGATCTTAGGGGAAAACTTAAAACGCTTCTCTACATTTTGATTAGATGACTTTAAATAATTTTAAATAAAACTCAAGCTTAAAAAAAATGTTTTAATTATTGAAACCAAAAAAATTAAAACCCAAAACTAAATGATAGATAAAATCTGCAAATAGAAAATATCATTGCAATAAAGAACTTTAAAAGAGACCAAAAAAAAAACGTAAATGGTTTATATTTATGCAATTAAAAAGTAATTTAAAACAACAAAAGCGAGCAAAAACTCAAGCTAGCTCTACAGATGGATAATAAATCAACACAAAAGCAAAGTGTTGATAAAGTTTTCGATAAAAATAGGAACCAACCAACACAGCCGCAGCAACCACAACGAGAAGAGGGAAAACCTGAACAATCACCACAGCAAAAGCAATCAAAACGATACAAATTAGTTCGAACGACAGAAAGTGTAGGAAACACATTTTCGGCTGCATTGAAACTGCAACAAGTGAATACTACAACAATAGCAGCAACAAGTGTCAGTTCAATAAAATCATCATTCACAACTGCGAGTACAGAACCTTCCACCGAAACGCCAACCGCTGCACAAGCTGCCATTGATGCCGCTCAGCGCCTGAAAGACGGCAGCACAGACGTAATGGGCGGCGGTTTTGCGATTCCGCCACCAACCGCAAGCTCAGCAATAGCAACCATACAGCAGTTACAGAAGCAACACGGCAATTTAGAAGCAGCAATAGTTGTCGTCGCAGCGACAGCAACAACAAACACAAAAATAACGAACGCCAAAACAGTTTCAGCAGTAAATAAAGCGACACCAACGCCATCGCAAATGCAGGAAAAATTGCTAGACCACATCCAAACGGAAAACGACGACGATCAAAAGCGTGATAAAAACTCCAAAGTAAAGGCAACGAAGAAGCAGGACGAAGTCTCTACAGCAGTAACCAGCAAAACTTCGAGCGGACGACCCGCCTCTGCGGCGGGTAAGAGTAAAATTTCCAAAGAGTCACGTGGCAAATTCGCCGATAAGTTACGACGATCATTTCGACGCGGCGAACACAAGTCGCTTGAAATCAAGCGCCCCGAATACAGCTTGGAGGGTCTCACTGGTGGCAGCATCAGCGCGAATCACGTGGCACATCGATATTCGCCGCAAGAAACTAACAGCAGTTGCAACAGCCTCGTTGACGGTAGTGGCGGCAGTCACTTTAATTTTGGATACTTCGGCTTGCGAACATTGCCGCCACTCCAGCGCAGCTCGCAGTCGATCTTCTCTCTAACTCATTTGCCTGGACTGAGTGGTAGTAGAGCTGGGAGTGGTAGCATTGCGGTAGGCAGTGGCAGCATAAGTAGTGTGTACAGTTCTACCAGCGGAGGACACATCAATCCAGCACTACTCTTGGATAGCCCTGATGCCGATACACCACCCGAGTACGCTTACCATCACTTAAGCAGTGTTGCCACAACGAACTCGAGTACTTCTTTGGAGAGCAATTTTGGAGAGCAATTTTCCGAACGCACGCCCTCTCAGTCGAGCATTAGCTATTGGGCGTGGCAGCAATCCAATTCATCAATGGGCGGCGAAGTGAGCACGAGTAGCAGAGGCGGCATCGCAGCGGCGAGCGGTTCAAGTGGCATAATTGGATCTGGTAGTGGGGGCGTTTGTGGAGATGGCGGCAGTGCCGATGCCAAAAACGTCAGCGATTGGAAGGGGAAGGAACAACATGAAAAGCAAAAATTGCAATCTCAAAGTAGCAGTAAAAGTGATGCGCAACCACAACAAGTAAGCCGAAGTTGTAGCATCACCAGCGATAGCAGCTCCACGAAGCTCACGCGTCTACAAAACTTTCTTTTTAAGTCAAGCAACGAAAGCACCAGAAGCTTCCATGCACATTCGAAAGAAGCATTCACAGCCTCGTCGCATAACTCCTCATCGGGAGAGTGGGAGAATTTGGGCTTCACAACGACCAGTGGTAGTGGTAGTCATGTGGCCGCAGACTTTTATGTCGGTAGCTTTCCAGAGGAGTCCGACGACGAAAATGGTGTTTGCACAGCGCCACCACCAACTAATAACAATATGTCTGCCAGCGGGAGACCAAAGTTGAAGCGCGCCGATTCGGGTGAGGCGGCTGGATCATATTACCAGTACACACTAACCTCACCGAATAATCCATTTTTGCCCGAAATCATCGCGCGCACCTATCACAGTGCCTACGACAAGGAAGACGAGCCGCTCGATGACAATGTGACGGCCGTCAAGTACGGTAAAAGTGCGGATGCCATTACTACAGTGGCGAGTGCTGGCACACATTCCGCGCAACTGCCAACACCAGCTTACAGCCGAGCGGGCTCACAAGAGTCTACACATAGTGATAGTGCTATCCCAGCAGCAGCCTCGGCAAGCAGCTGTTCGCCCGCACTGCACACTTCCAGCGCGGCCTCCAGTTCATCGTCAACACCAGGACGACAACGACGAAAGCTGTTCATTTTGAACTCACCAACGCGACATTTACTGCACCAACAGCCGTCACATAAGCAGCAGCAGCAGCAACAGCAGCAGTCACATGCAGCTACAGACGCCGCAGCTGTTTGCAAGCCCACACCAAGTACTTTCGCTTCCAGTGGCAGTAGCTTCATAAAGAGTCTCAACCCCTTCCTCCCCGCCGCCAGCGGAAGTGCTTCAAACAATAGCGATGGCATAGGCACAACAAGCGCAGCCACAACGACGGCCACAACATCGCCTGCAGCCGTAATGGGCGCCGCAACGAAGCGGGTACCGTTAAAGCAATCGGCCGTGACATCTCCAATCGCGGTGCCGCAGGATTTGAATGCGAAACGCGAGGAATTCTTGCGTGCCACAATGAAGATTTGCTTGGTCGTCTCGCCGCCAACCAGTAAATTGCAGGTAAATGCCACTGAAGCGATTAACAAGAAAGTAGTAAAAGTAAAATAGCATACAAATGTGCGTGGAGTGCATGTTCCCTAGGTTTGTAAATATAGATGTGTAATACTTAACTAGTCGCTATATACATACATATATCTTTTGTTTGCACTTTTTTGTTTTTGATCCCAATAAATATTATTTATGTATAACTTTAATTTGAACTTTTATTTTTTATTAGTTTGTTTTTTTTTTGTAAAAGAAATTTTTTTCTACTTATTTAAAGCGTGGGATAATGTACATAAATATAACAAGCGTTGACAATAATTCGATATAGAAACCATCTCTAGGTGAGAGGTAACAATTGTCTACCGTATACACTGCTTCTAGAGTACCTGATAGAGAAAAGTTGAGATTTCTCTATTTTGACTCTAGCTAGAGTGAATATCTCCACGAATTGCTCTACTGTGTAAACTTAATTGAAAGAGGAGATTTGTATCTCAGTAAAACTCTAACGTGATTTCCCTAGACTTAGCTTAAGAGAGAGGTCTCATCTCATCTCAGGGGTCTGAGCTACTATGAAAGTATTTTTTAATTGCAGTATGTTAGACAGAATAATCTCTGAATCAATATCTGGATACAGTTTCATTTATAAAAACGTCTTCAAAAAATGCAAAAAACGATTAGTTTGATTTCAAAAATATATTTCAAATATTCTTTGGTGAAAATAAACAACGTCATATCAATATTCCATACACATTTAGTTAGCATAAACTCGTTTAATAAAGTTGTTTGCTTTCATACATAACTACCAGAAAAATGTCCGTGATCATAACCGTAACTGTCTCCATGGTGTGAGACCTGTGGATGTTGAGCATGCCCGATCCGTTTTACAACAGCGTTGAAGCCATTGTGATCGTAAGCCGTATATTCTACAACGCGCGTAGTACCATCAGCTTCTGCCAGAGTATAGCCACCTATGTAGTAATGTAATGGACATAAGAGTGTTTATGATTTTCCTATATGAAGTTGATTTGATTTAGGACTCACCCTTGACATGATCACCATCACGATGCTCCCATTGACTCTTGTGATCGCCGGTGTGTGCGTCCTTTACACCATAATCGAATGCGTATTTAGGATAATGATGTGGTTCATGGTGTTCGTAGTGATGATCGTGCTGATCGTAACCATGGTCGTGACCAGCATATGGTGCATAAGCATCGTGACTAACATGGTCATGAATGTTATGTTGCACTATCGAAGCATAACTCGAGGCATGACCATGCGGAACATATCCTGCAAAGGCAACTCCAAAAAATGCTACTACGATGACGGCAATGCACGAGGGGATTAGCATATTGTTTTATTTTTAATGACTTAACGTATACTTTTTCACTCTACGCTGCTGGAGAACAATGCTGAACTGATGCCAACTGGCTTTCTATGAATTCTATTTATACTAAACCGAGATGGAAAATGCCGATAAATAGTAAAAACTTATTTATTTACGGTTGTTTTCGTATAAAGCAAAGCAAAATATAGATTTAGCTATTCGCCAATCACTCAAAACCGAACATTGAGATTTCGTATATTATATGAAATATTGATTAAAGTTGACCGACGTTTTCTTTTTTGTTGAATACTTCGCCCAAATGCTATAAGTTATTATATTTAATTTGTGTATGTATATATGAACATAATTAACAAAGTCATTGCACAGTGGTGGGCCCAAGCAACTTGAAGAATCGAAATATTATAAAAGCAAAAACAAAAACAACAACAATACCATGTGTGAACGTACATGGCGTTGATCGCTTAATTAAAGTGCAGTAATATGCATAAATATGCTGGATGTAGCACGTGCATACATATGTACATACATACACATGTGTTTAGTATGATCATAGCGTAAAGCAAGTATTTGATACAATAGATAAACAATTTGTTGGTAATTGCTGTCAAAAACTGGGCTGGGCGTGTGTCTGTATAAATTTTATTTAGTAGCAGGTATGAACGAATTCTGTAGAAACTGAGCTTTCATTTTAGTTTATGGGCATTTACTGCGTTAAAACTTTTGACAAGAATTTGAATGTAAAATTAATGCTACAATTTGAAAAGGTGTTAGTGTTTCGCTATGGAATAAATTCAACTGCTCTTGTAGAACGTAATAACTGTAAAGATCAATCATATGTATAAGGAATAGAGTATAAATATAAACTGTAGACAGCTGATTGGTATCAGTTTAACATTGACCTCCAGCACAGTCACTAGTCAGTTGAGCAAAAAGAACAATTAAATACTTTAATCTCAACTAAAATGCAGAACCTTGCTCGTGTCATCGTCATCGCTGTAGTCCTCTTCGGAGTTGCATGCGCCGGGTATGCTCCATACGGTCATGCTACCAGTTATGCCTCAGTAGTACATGACACTCACGAGCATGGGAGCCACGCCAATTTTGCACCCTTTTCTGGTCACAATCATGGTTACGATCAGCACGATTATCATGACTACGTACAGCATGAACCATATCATTATCCTAAATACGCATTCGATTATGGTGTAAAGGACGCACACACCGGCGATCACAAGAGTCAATGGGAGCATCGGGATGGTGATCATGTCAAAGGTGAGTCCTAAATCAAATCAATTTTATATAGCAAAGTCAAAAACACTCGTATGTCCATTACATTACTACATAGGTGGCTATTCTCTGGCAGAAGCTGATGGTACTACGCGCGTTGTAGAATATACGGCTGACGATCACAATGGCTTCAACGCTGTTGTAAAACGCATCGGACACGCTCAACATCCACAGGTGTACCATCATGGAAACAGTTATGGCTATGATCATTGATTTTTGCTGGTAGCTAGGTTGAAGTCAAACAACTCCAGTGAAGGAAACTATTAAGAATTTGACAAATCTCGCGTTTCACCGAAAAATTTTATTGTCATGAATTAAATAAATGTTCTTCTTTTGGGATGATCTCCTCTTGATGTAGTAAAAGTATTTTAGCTAATTTAATTGTAGCAAAATAAACATTAAGAAACAAAACAGCGCAGTTATAAATCTTAATTTCCTCTCTAAGATACACTGTAGTTTGGTACACAAATCTTCTCTTTTATTGGCTTCTTTTATGCCACAGGTTACAGTTAGTGATTTGTTATATTTTGAAATTTTTTAAATTTTTCAGCTCAGACTTTGAAATTTCACTAAAAAATCTGAAATTTTTTTTTGTCCCAAAATATATGTATCTGGTATTCCTGGAAAGGTTTTTAGCCGTTATCAAGCTTATGGACCTAATTTTATTACAAAATTAATATTACGAAGTTAAAAATGGATCTTGCACTTTACGCATTTTCAACCAAATATTTATGTAAGTCAGAGCCACATCAGCCTTTATATAAGTTGAACTTGCTTTTTGAAACAGGTGGCAACTCTCCTACATATGTGTAATTAAGAAATAAAGCCTTTTCAAAACCATTTCCATCGATACTCATAGTGGGATAATTGATTTCGCTTAAAAATAATTTGAATTTAACTTATTTATCAGGTGGCAACTCTTTTTGAAAAAAATAAGAAGCTACTAGAGATCAGCTTATACATATTTATCCTCACCTGAGCCATTCTTTTTTAAGTCACCTGTTAAAAAATTAAACTCAAATAATTTAATAAGTAAAAGAATTATAAAGATGAAAAACAATTGAAATGGGTTTGAAAAGGCTTTATTTCCTAATTACATTTAAGAGGGTTGCCATCTGTTTCAAAAATCAATTTCCATTTGAATTGAGGGAATTAGATGCGATATGGGAGGCAGACGAAAGATATTTGGAATAGGGTTGCCACCTGTTTTTAAAGTAGAATTTAGCTAAATTATACAAAATCTATGTACATGAAATATTCAAATATTTGTTTCAAAGGAAAAGGTTGCGACATGGTATCTGTTATTTGATTATGATATGATATGATATGATTCCTTTTTATTAAATTCATTTAGAATACTGAACACTTGAACTAACTTTAAAGTTTCAGACACTTTTTTATATAAAAACAAGTATTTATTGGTAGCGGGTTCTGGCCAATGGTAACCGACAGTTACCACCTCTGCATGGTTGTAAGCCGCAAAAAACTCCGGAAACATTTCCCACAGGATGCATCAGACTAGGCCGAACATACTTTGAATTGCCATGAAATTATAACTTAAGAAAGTGTTATTATATGGCAATTGAGAAGTGCATATGCATGCATTTAGGCGCTTGGTGTTAGTATTCGTGCCTAAACACTTAATTTAAGCTAAGTTTGACAAGTTTTTACCAAAATAATTAGTTAAAATGAATTTGGTTTTTTAAAACATGGCAACCCTTCTGCCATTCCAATTGATATCCATGTTGTTAAAATCTAATTCATTTAACTTATTAAATAATTGTAACTAAATTTTTGAACAGGTGGCAGCCCTTTTCAAAAATAAAAAACTTTATAGCACATATACAGACCAAGCTTTGTAATTTGACACCTCACTTTTGAAAGAACCCAAATTTTCAACTTCAAACTGCATTTACAGTGAAAGTGTAAAAGTTATCAAAACGCAAATAGCATTTTTGAATTCAGCAAGAAACAAATGTTTATTTAAATCCGTCATAATTCTTTCTTTTTTTTTGTCCACGTTTGATATGGAAGGGAAGCACTGGCGTCGCCAGAGTTTTATAAGAACCGGAAACAGAAAGTAATCCTGAGAAACCACTATATTTTTCAGAAAATAAATAACAAATCGCACAAAATAATGATAAGCTATAGATAACAGTCCAATTTTAACGATTAAATTATTATTTTTTCTTAAGAAAGATCCGGTTACAATATAGTTTAATTGATTGCATACCATTTTAGTTTAAAGCGGCATAGGTTTTCAAAGTATTCCCATTGACAGGTTTCTTTCACAAACTACATACATACATATATTTCTCTTAATCCTTCCCCTTTCCCTTTCTTATTTGTAAATTATTATTAATTTTCGCTGTTGTAGCGA